CAAAAACAATACTTGGGCAGCTATGAAAGTGTAGGATTTTTTCAACGGCACATCTTTTTGCGTCTTCTTTTACCTTATACTGTGAAAATATCAGTAGAATGAATGGGAACTGCAAAAATTGATTTTTTTATAAAGAATTTTTTTTATGGAATTTCAGTTTCTCAAAAATTTGAGAACTTGAGAAATTTCAATAAAAGTGAACGGGGCACATGAAAAGGAAAAATAGAGGAAAATTAAATCTCAGGATAATCAACAGTGATTAGTAACATATTTCAGACGTCAAACTGTATTCATCATGTTTCAGGGCCGCAGCTGTAGATTACCAACAAGACCATCGCGGCAGTGATTATGCCTGGATATTTATGCGTGCACACACAAAGAGAGGACACACTCATCGCATTCTAGGACCGGCAAGGTGGTGATGCTCAACACACATCAAGGATATCACATAAAAGGCTAAAACTTCGCAAGTTTTTTTGTCAGGTAACTGTTGAGCTGGCACAGTAATCGAGAGCCGAAACGAACGTCACGATCACCAGCAATAGACTAATCACCAGATGATGTTTAAAGCAACTGGAAAGATTGCAGCTGCGTAACAGAAGTAGCTGACCAAAGTATCAAAAGAAATCTGTTTCCCAAAAATTCGAGTAAAAAATTAAGGTTTTCTTCAAAACTATTTTCGCAGTAAATGGCATCGTAAAAGAAAATTCTAAACGGAAAAAATTAAAAGCTGAAGCACTGTGGAGGGAATGGTGGAGATGAGGAGCTAGCAACAGCCACCTCGGCTCGCCTTCTCCAGACAAAAGCACTAGGCTCATTTCATGGCTAGCCACCAGCTTAACACCTGGCACAAGCCAGGCCACCACACTGTCATATCAATTTCATTAGAAGAGCGCTGCTCGGATCATTATTCAAATCCTCATTCTTCCTCCTCCTCCAACCTGTCCAGGTATCGCTTCAATCTCGGCTCTTAGCCAAAATTTGGCAGGAAATCCTGCACATTTGATATGAAATTTCCGG